TGTTGAAACCTCATTCTTCTTGGCCAGCAGTACTAATAATGCGACGACATGGGGCTGCTGGGGTGACTCGCCATTTCAGTACTCGATCCTCCCAACCTGCCTTTTATTGGCCCAGCATCACGAACAACAACAACAATGCCAACAATAATGACAATAGTATTAGGTCTATTTCCACTGGGCCAGTCGAAGCAACCTTTTCCAACGAGTTGTTCTACTCTCATGTGCTAATCAAAGAAGATGGTTTGAGTATGCTCGAGGCAATTGATGCCTCGGTCGGCCATGTTCTGGACGACCACCAAACAACAAATGGTGATGATATTGACGCAAGCCTCCCAACAAAGGTTCAAAAGTTGACGCCGTTTCAGCTATTGCAACTAGGCTCTGTTTGGTACATGCCCAGAGAGGAAGTGGATCACAACAACAACCGAAAACCTGAAGAACCTCATTCTCTCATTTACAAGCCACAACGACTGTCGTTTGCGAATCATACCATGAGTTTGCAGGCTGGTGACTACCTTCGGATACACCATACTCCAAGACGTTTTATAAGAGTCTATGACCAAGATTGGAGGGAGTTTCGAGACGACGAGAATAAGGGCAATCCAAGGATCGTCCGTACCGGAAATGGCTTTTACATCATTGACAAGCCACCTTTGGTTCCCGTTCATGCGACAGTGGACAATGACGTGGAGAATGTGGCCCATCAGCTCGAATTTCACAATCCCCACCAAGATTATGTAGCCACCACTCAACGAATTGATATCAATACGTCTGGCCTATTGGCAGTGGCCACCAAACCAGAGTTTGCGGCCTACTTTTCCTCGCTCCTAAGGCGCAAGACCAAGAATACACTGAAACAAGAACAACTGCAAGACAAACTAGCAAACAGTACCGAGGACAGTGTTACAAACTCTGCCTCGCCAAGCAGAGCTGCTGTCAAAAAGAATAGTAATATTGAAAAGGAATATAAATGCCTGGTGTGCATTCAGGAAACGGACTCGTCGTCGGCAGTCGATTCTTGGCAGACGCTCAAGAATCTTGAAGAATCAAACTCTGTTGTGAGACATTTTTTGGAGGGATCCGACCGTGCTCCCAAACGCTTTGAAGACGAAATACCACCGCAAGAAGAAGACGATGACGACCAAAGTAGGAATCCCAGCAAATGGTACGAGTGTCTGCTCCAAGTGAAACGAGTGTCTCCCTTGATTCCCATGGAAACTGCCGACTGTCCGTTGGCACAATCCTTGTGGTCCCAACAGGTCACGACCAGTGTACCCGAACGGACACGAGGAGTGTGTGAAGTAAGCATTCAATTGCTGACGGGTCGGACGCATCAGATTCGGGGTCAATTGGCCAAATTGGGCTATCCCATTGTGGGCGATGAACAGTATGGTGGTGCCATTCCCAAACAACAAGAACAACAGCAACAAGAGGAAGATAGTAGTGAACATGCAGCTGCGGGGACCATATTGCGTGACGAGTTTGCCCAACTGCTGGCGCTACAGTGCTGTCACCTGGGATTCTGGGATGCCGACTATAAACCAGTATGGCATAAAAAGAAAAGGCGAGAGATTCTGGAAGGACGTCTTTCGGATCGATGGATTTCGGTCACTCTGGACTCGGCATGGTGGACCGAATACATTGCAGCAGCAGCAGGAAAATCATTATCATCCACTGATACTAGTAGTACTACTACTGCTACTACATCGGCTGCAGATGTAGAGCTGGTACAACAGCAAAAGGACAAGCAACGACGTTTGGGTCTGTCGTTGGTAGGTGACGACGAAGAGTTTGCCAATGCCCGAGTGGACTTGCTGCCTCCTACTGTGCAACTTTCACAAGGTGCCAACAAGTATGTTTTGATCAAGGTGGACGGAAAGGACGACAAAATTCATTGGTTTGTCGTATCCGCATCGCCTAGCGAATGTGGAGGACCCTACCATGTCAATGTGGCAGAGGATACCATGGAATGGATACGAGCGGCAGGATTCCAGCGCATCACAGTGACTGGAGGTGGTCGTATTGATTTCAATCCGGACTCGGGAAGGGCCCATGTATACGGATTCTCCTACGGGTTTGGAAAGGGTGACCATGCCAAGGCGGCGGAACTCATTGATGCTTACTACAAAGAAAACGAAACTGACGTAAATGTGAAGGCCTCGTTTGACGACTCGGACAGATTGTATTAGGAAGTAAACTATCAGCATGAGAAAGGTAAGGAACTGAAAAGGTGGATAAGAATTTTGAATTATGTACTATTTCCGACATTTCGACTGAACAATCTTAGTCTTCTCCTTCTGACAGCTCATCCAAGGCCGCCATATCATTGCCATTGGGGGCGTCAAAGAGTCCTCCCATACCGCCTGGCATACCTCCAGGCATACCACCTCCCGGCATACCACCAGCCCCTCCCATCATGGCTTGCATCAAATCATTTTGGTCCATGTTTTCATACATGGTAGCTGCTGCTTGCATGGCCTCGCGCCAGGCCTCGGGACTATTCAGCAATTCTTCCATTCCTGGCATACCTGCCATCATACTCTTTAGCATAGGATTATTTAGAATCATTTGCCGAGATTCCTCCAATCTATCGGGATCGCTCATGTACTCCTTGAATATGGGACTGTTCATCATACTACTCCTGTAAAATTATGGGCATCAGAAACCATTTCTGTCATACCCAACGGCAATTGACAATGAACTATCTATCTATCCAACAACTTACATCATTTCCATGGATTCCTGCATATTAGGGGCACCGCCTTCTCCTCCACCCATGCTCTTCATCAAATCGTCCATTCCAGAACCACCAAGTCCCTTCAAAATATCTTCCATTCCTCCCGGGGCGGCTGGTGCAGCTACTGACGAGGAACTGGCAGCCGCAGAAGGAGTGGTAGTCTTCTTTTTGGTGCCGCTTTTGGATTTTGATTTTGGGACAATATTAAGCTGATCGCCGTCCTTAACTCCAGCATCAGTTAGATTGTCCTCTGATGACAATCTCTTTCCATTGAATAGAACTCGTCCCTGTTTGGAAGGAGCCACGCCAGATTTTTCGCTCAGCTCCTCTTGGAGCTCTTGGACTGTGTCAACTCCAGCCAGATCATACTTCTTCCCCCGAAGCGAGACCTGAATATCTGGCATTGCTTCAACGAGAAGCCCCGTCGCCAATACACACACGACACTCAAGAATTTCATTGTTGCTTTATTGTTTGATGTCAGTCGACGAAGAATGATTGTGATTGCCATCACTGTGAGAACCATCATTTCGCTCCACGTGTCACGTGATTGGAAACGATTGATTGCAGTCACGACACAGGTTTC